CTCTCCCCGGCTCTGGGAAGGGAGTGGGGCCTGGTGGGTTAGAGCAGGGGGGCTGGGAGCCAGGGGGGCTGGGAGCCTCCTGGGTTCTCTCCTCGGCTCTGGGAGGGGAGTGGGGCCTAGTGGTTAGAGCAGGGGGGCTGGGAGCCAGATGTACGGGACACATTAATTTAGGTCAACAGCGTCTTACATGGGCGTGACTTTATTCAGCGCCAACACCGGGGACTCGCAGCCCCACCAGCCCGCGCCGCACGTCCTGCTCCCGCCTCCATCGCTTCGTGAGACGATCCCACATCTCAAACAGCCCCAATGCCGCCCCCCGCCCCCCCCGCAGCCCAGTTACTGCCTGTTTGACCCAGGGCAGCTGGTCCAGAAGGAACCCGCCCGATTTAAACCTCACCCCGGCGGGAGCCCCCCCAGGGCCCGGGGAAATCGCCCACCTGGGGAATTCCCCTCCCGGCACAAACCAACGCCTTGTTCCCAGGCTGGCTCTGCCCAGCTCCGGCTCCAGCTCCGGGCCAGGCTGGGGTTCGATCCCCTGCCGGCCTGAGGACCCCGGGGGTGTTTGGTTCCCCCGGTCGGTGCCTCCAGCCGGGGACACGTCCCCCCCTCGCCGGCCGTGCTCAGCTCATGGACCGAGCTGGGGGTCTCGCTCGGAGGCCGGTTTTCTAACCCTTTCATCGTCCTGGGGACTCCTCCCCGATTGACCCACGTCCTCCTCGAATCGCGGGCACCGGAACGGGAGCCAGGACCCAGCCGCGGGAAAACCCCCTCCCGGCTCCTACCCGAGATCCCCCCGGCTACAGCCCAGGCCGGCCTTCGCCCTTCGCCCCGTCCAGCTGGAGACGGAGCTGCCCAGGGTCTGCCCGGGGGAAACTGACGGGGGACCAGGGATCTGGGGAGCCGGAGTCCTGGGTCCTTCGTTCCTTTCCTCCCTGGAGAGCCGGCCCCGCTCCGGATCAGCCGCTGGTGACGTGCGTGGTTCAGCCCCACACGGCCGCCCGAGCGCTCAGCCGACCACACGCCCAGCCCAGGGCCTGTTTCCTGAGCGGGGCTGGAGGCCGGGTTGTATAAGCGGCTCTCGAGAGGCCGGGGGGGTGGAAAAACTGGGTCACCGGCTCTCACGGCCTGTGGGAGGAAACAGACGCCGGCCGCGTCCTCTACCGCCTGAAAAACCACCACGGCAGCAGTTAACCCTCATGCCCCAAGACGGAGAGTGAGGCTGGGAACTAGGGGTCAGGAAGGGACAGTGAGTCCAGCGCTGGCCACTGGGTGGGTGTCTTGGGTCCTCTTCAGAAGCTGTGGGTTAGGTCTGAGGGGCACAGGCAGAGCTGGGGGGAGCAGGGCTGGGTTGGCAGGGGGCTGTGGGTCGGGAGTGAGGGGCACCGGCAGAGCTGGGGGGGCAGGGCTGGGCTGGGCAGGGGCGTGGCGAGTTCGGGAGGTGA